CATCTATACAATGGAGTATTACTCAGCAATGAAAAATAAGGAAATCATGAAATTTGCAGGTAAATGGTGGGACCTGGAAAGGATCATCCTGAGTGAGTTGTCCCAGAAGCAAAAAGACACGCATGGTATATACTCACTTATATAAACATACAACATAGAATAAACCCACTAAAATCTGTACATCTAAACAAACTAAGCAAAAGAGAGGACCCTAACTAAAATGTTCAATCCCCACCCTGAAAGGCAAAGAGGATGGACATCAGAAGAAAAAGAAAATAGGAAACAACCTCGGAACCTGCTACAGAGGGCCTCTGAAAGCCAGAAGAAAACAGGAAACAACCTTGAAACCTGCCACAGAGGGCCTCTGAAAGCTTCTGCAGTATAGACTGTCAAAGCAGATGCTGAGCCTGATGGCCAACTGATGGGCAGAGTGAATGGAATTCTATGTAAGAAGTGGGAAATAGTAAGAGCTGGAGGGGACGGGAACTCCACAAGGAGAGCAACAGAACAAGATAATTTGAATACAGGGAACTTCCCAGAGACTCATGCTCCAACCAAGGACTATTCGTGGAGATGACCTAGAACCCCTGCACAGGTGTAGCCCATGGCAGTTCAGTGTCCAAGTGGGTTACATAGTAATGGGAAGAGGGACTGCCTCTGACATAATCTGATTGGCCTGCTCTTTGATCACTTCCCCCTGAGGGGGGAGCAGCCTTACCAGGCCACAGTAGAGGACAATGCAGCCAATTTTGATGAGAACTGATAGACTAAGATCAGAAAGAAGAGGAGAACCTCCCCTATCAGTGGACTTGGGGAGTGGCATGCATGCAAAAAGGGGAGGGGGGGTCGGGAGGGAAGGAGGGAGGGGCTTATGGGGGATACAAAATGAATAAAGTGTAATTAATAAAAAAATAACTGCTTTTTAACTAAAAGATGAATCAATATTAAATATTAATAATCACCAACAGTCCTTGGTTGGTGTATCAGTCTCTGCAGGCCTCCCATGCCCAGATTTGTTGGTTTTGTTGGTTCTCTTTGTGGAGCTCCTGTCCTTTGTGGGCCCTAGGCAGGATGCTTAATTCCCATTCAGAAGAAGTAACAAAATTCTGACACTAGAAGTGGTTGAAGAAAGGGAACAAGATGGGAGCCTTCTATAGATGTCCTCTGAAAAACTCCACCCATCAGGGGATAGAAGCATAAGCAAAGACTCTGTCCAAACTTTGGACAGAGCACAGGGGATAACTATTAGTTCTTTTATTATAAATTTAGTTTTTATAATTTATTCACTTTACATCCTGATTGTAGCCCCCTCCCTTGTCTCACACTTCCTCCCCCACCCCTTTTTCCTATTCAACATTGCTGGTTTGGTTTCTTTTTTGACAGGAGTAACACTACTTCTTATGAATATCTGACCAAATTGAACTCTCAAGTAATTTTTTTTCTTTTGTCCCTAATCTTAACTGCAGTAACTGCATTTGAGTGGAGGAAGAGAGCACAGGAAAAAGGAGTTCTAGCTCTGGTAGCAGGAACAATGATTTCTGCCTCTGTAAGGATCTCAGGTGTATTAATGTGTTGGGTGAGAGAGAGGGGTGAGTAAGACTACCAGACATGAAGAGTGACTAGGCATTGGTATCCTTCAGAACTCTTCCATTATGATTCTATTTTAGAGATGTGGCATGGACAGGAAATTTGTCCTGCTGGAGCAGAAGTAATCAAGGAGGAAGAACCCTTTTGATTAATGTCTCCAAGAAAATGGAACAGATTACTATATCTATGTGAGGTTGGTGTCTCTGGTTAAATCTTGAGAACTGGTTCAGGAATCTGTGCTAGTCCATTTGCTCTGAACTTTAAACCACCAGAGGCCTTGTTGATAGCCAGAAAAAAGAAACTCCACAGCCTTCGAAGTTTGAATCTTTCTGCTGAGCAGAGAAACTACAGATATTTATACAATGTTGTGTAAATATTATAACAAAATATAAGGTGTTAGGGAATGGTTCAACTAAACTGTACATATTGGTTGTTAACAGAAAGCATCTGCATCAGGAATTTGTTTTTTTTTTTTTTTGCTGTGTACACGCTTCTGTCCCTGGGGATGTGGATGAGCAAAGTATTATGTTGTAATGCCTCTCCCCTGCTGGCAGTGGCACAGGTGCAGAACCGTGGGCATGATGATTCAAATGCCAATTGCATCACTGCTGCCTGTGCTCAGCTCCGATTGCTGTTAGCGAAGGAAACAGAATTCATTAGTTTTCTTTCAGGGCACAAGCAAGCACATGGGTTTCACAGAATGTATAAAGGCAGTAAGGAGAAATGGGCAAGCCCAACCTTTTCCTTTCCCAGAGAATCATTGGCAGTAGAAGAAATGATGAGCATTTGGAAGCACTCTGTCTGTAGATATTAGAGAAGACAGCATCAGTATGGCAGAATGCTCTGCTGATAACTGAAGACAAGTTTTTTATTCTGTCCCAGGTCTATAGAAAAGTTTATATTGTTTTATTAGAGAATCAAAAAAGCTATAAATGCTCACAGGAAAGATTACTGAATAATCAAATAACCATTTTAAGAAGTTAGGCAAAAATAAAATGTGAAAATCACTTTCCTGATATATATGAGGAGTTATCTATTGTGATGAGTTCAGAGTCTTTGTTCGTATCTACTTTTCTTTTGGCATTTGATAAGCTTGGGGTTAAAAGAGAAGACAGTTACTACATTTGTAGGGAAAAAAATCCAGGCTTAAAACCCCCCATCCCACCCGAGGTTCTAGAGTAGATAAAGGCTTGGAGCAAGTTTGCATGAGAGTATGGTTCCCTATTCACTACACTAGACTGATCTCAAAGAGTTTTTCCAGAATGCTGTGATGGGACTTAGAAAGAGGGGGAAAAGAGAGGAAGGATGGGACTGGAAGAGAGAAGGGAGATGGTTATGACTGGGATGTAAAATGAATAAATAAAAATTAAAATAAAAGGAATATGTATTTAAACAAGCACCCAAGGTTGTAAACTTAATTCCACCCCTTTGAAAAACATTTTGTGTATATATTGAAGTAATTTTTTTACCAAGTAGATTTCTTGCTTGTCCAGGTTTCAGTATTTAGCTTTTGGGAGAAATACTTTTTAAATGATGCCTGCACTGAGCTGGATTAACTGAAAGGCAAACATCTGGATTTTTCTTCACAGCTGTGCTTCTTGACCTGGTAGCCTGCAATAAAAATTATTCACATCAAAGCTAATCCTCTGCCCAAGTTTTGGTTATGAGTCTCAGCATCTGCTTTGATGTACTGTGAGGTAGAGTCTTTCAGAGGCCCTCTGTGGTAGGCTCCTATCCTGTTTCTTGTTTTCACCTACATAAAATGTCCATTTCATTTGTCTTTCTAAGTGAAGGTTGATCATCTTACCAAGGGTCCTCCTTGTTTAGCTTCTTGAAGTGTACAGATTTTATGTATGTTTTTCCTTATAGGTCTAATATCCACTTATAAGTGAGCATATACCATCTGTGCCTTTCTGCTTCTGGGATACCTCACTCAGGATGGTCTTTTCTAGATTCCACCATTTGCCTGCAGATTTCATGATTTCCTTCTTTTTAATTGCTGAGTAATATTCCATTGTGTAAGTGCACCACAATTTCTGTATTCATTCCTCTGTTGAGGGACATCTGGGTTGTGTGCAGGAAATCATATGAAAGGAGGAATTGTTGGTAAGACCTGGAGAGGACAGGAGCTCCACAAGGACCAAATATATCTTGGCACAGGGGTCTTTCCTGAGACTGTTTCTCCAATCAAGGACCATGCATGGATATAACCTAGAACCTGCTCAGATGTAGCCCATGGCAGCCCAGTATCCAAGTGAATTCCCTAGTAAGGGGAACAGGGACTTTCTCTGACATGAACTTAGTGGCTGGCTCTTTGACCCCTCTCTCCCGAAGGAGGAGCAGCCTCGTTAGGCCGCAGAGGAGGACATTGCAGCCAGTCCTGAAGAAATCTGATAAGCTAGGATCCAATGGAAGGGGAGGAGGACCTCCTCTATCAGTGGACTTAAAGGGGGGCAGGGAGGAGATGAGGGAGGAAGGGTGGGATTGGGAGGGAATGAGGGAGGTGGCTACAGCTGGTATACAAAGTAAATAAACTGTAATTAATATAAAAAATAAATATTTAATTAAAAAGTTAATCCTCATTTTTCTTGAACCATACCCTCCTTTTGCCCAGTTAAAGCATAGTACTTATTTCTTGTTCTTAATGCAAAAAAAGAGTCCACACTCATTTCAAAAGTCCCCAAGAGAAAACAAAATGAAAAAATTACCCAGAGATAACTTCATTAAGTTTTTTAAGGAAGCAGTGATATGTAATTTTCCAAGGCTAGTAATCACAATATATAATGACTTCTTAATGAGAAAAATTAATCAAAATTATATGAAGGAATGTTAAGGGTCACCTATAGAAACTTGAAATTCACTCCTGCTCTCTTTCTATGTTATAAGAAATACTGATATTTCAAACAACCTTCGGAATTCTATATCTGTATTTTTAAAATAAATTCTGCTGTCTAAAGTTGTGTATTATACAAAAGATTATTTTTTAGATATGTGATTCTTTAAAGTCTTTTGTAATCTTCGTCACTTAACTTTCATTTTAATCTCTTTCATTCTTTCCTTCACTGTGTTGCTGTTGAACATTTGTTATGTAGATGCAAAGTCTAATAAGCCCATCAGAGTTCCTGTCTAGTGTGAGATTATTAGAATAGTGTAAAGAAATGAGCAGTTGAACAAATTAGCAAGACTATTTTAGATTCTTCGTGTTAGGTAGAAAAATAAATGTACTCTGCAGAAGTGATGCTATCAGAGATTGATAATTAAAAGCCTAAAAAGGGTCCCTGTACTAAAATGTGAAAGGATTTTTTAAAATAAGTTAAATAACAGAGTATGGTTACAAAATATATATAAATAAAGAAAATTATTGGCTTTTATTTTACTAAGTCTTAAGTTGTCAAATAAAATTATAAATTTTATGCACCCTGGCAATGGGCAAAGAGACATCTTGGCGGTGGTGTTCTTACATCAGCCAGGAACAGAGCAGATGGAAGTCCTTTGCTAATCTTAGCTTGATGTCTGACTTGGTGGCCAAAGCTTACTTATGCCTATGACTTATCAAATCAAACCAAATCAAATCCAGTCAGCACAGCACAGGAGGAGGAAGACAGACTCTGTGGGCCATCATGCTACCCACAGACTTGCCTCCAGCACATGGCGTAGGTGAACAATAGACATCCATCTACTTGCTACTAAAATAGATAGCATGGTTGGAGGATATCACCCAGGGGCCTGCCAGCTGCGTGGCAAACCTGCAGCTGGAACTACCACAATGTGCGGGTATGTGATATTTAGATGTGAAAGAAAGAGAAGTGAAGCAGCTTGAACATTATGAAGAAGGATGGAACTAGAGAGTCAAAAGTTAAGAGGAGTAGCCTGTTGTGAGTGGTTGGCCCTGCAACATGAAGCTATGGTGAGGGCTCATCCTGAGCTGCCACTGAGGGCCATGCCTAACTCTGTTTCTATGCAGTGACAGGGGTCGGTGTTGATCTCTGTGGCTCATAATAACACTAGAGAACATGGGGATGTCCCTGTTTGAGGTAGCTGTCAGGGACTACCTGGATGTCCAGGGGCTGTGGAGAACTGGTCCTGCCCCTCACTGCATGTAGTGTTCTGGAGAGCTGGATTTCATTAGCCATTTCCCTAATGGCTAATGAGGATGAGCATTTCTTTAAGTGTTTTTCTGGCATTCTATATTCCTCTGTCGAGAATTCTCTGTTTAACTCTGCTCCCCATTTTTTAATTGGATTACTTGGTTTGCTGCTTTTCAGCTTCTTTAGTTCTTTGTATATACTGGATATTAGTCCTCTGTCAGATAAAGGGTTAGTGAAGATTCTTTCCCAATCTGTAGGCAGTCGTTTTGTTTTGATGACAGTGTCCTTTGCTTTGCAGAAGCTTTTCAGTTTCATGAGGTCCAATTTATTGATTGTTGCTCTTAGAGCCTGTGCTGTTGGTATTCTGTTCAGGAAGTTGTCTCCTGTGCCAATGAGTTCTAGGCGGTTTCCCAATTTTTCTTCTAACAGATTTAGAGTATCTGGTTTTATGTTGAGGTCTTTGATCCACATGGACTTTAGTTTTGTGCAGGGTGATAAATATGGATCTATTTTCATTTTTCTGCATGTAGACATCCAGTTAGACCAGCACCATTTGTTGAAGATGCTGTTTTTTTTCCATTGTATGGTTTTGGCTTCCTTGTCAAAAATCGAGTATTCATATGTGTGTCGGTTTATTTCTGGGTCTTCTATTTGGTTCCATTGATCCTCCTTTCTGTTTTTATGCCAATACCATGCAGTTTTTATTACTATTGCTCTGTAGTATAGCTTGAGATCGGGGATAGAGATACCTCCAGATGATCTGTTGTTGTACAGGATTGTTTTGGAGATTCTGGGTTTTTTTGTTTCTCCATATGAAGCTGAGAATCTTTTTTTCAAGGTCTGTAAAGATTTGAGCTTGTATTTTGATGGGAATTGCATTGAATCTGTAGATTGCTTTTGGCAGGATGGCCATTTTTACAAAGTTAATTTTACCAATCCATGAGCACGGGAGATTTTTCCATCTTCTGATATCTTCTTCAATTTCTTTCTTCAGAGACTTGAAGTTTTTCTCAAACAGGTCTTTCACTTGCTTGGGTAGTGTCACCCCAAGTTACTTTATGTTATTAGTGGCTATTGTGAAGGGTGTTGTTTCCCTAATTTCTTTCTCTGCCATTTTGTCTTTGGTATACAGGAGGGCTTCTGATTTTTTTGAGCTGATTTTGTATGTTGCCACATTGCTGAAGGTGTTTATCAGCTGGAGGAATTCTCTGGTTGAATCTTTGGGGTCGCTCATGTATGCTATCATATTATCTGCAAAGAGTGAAACTTGGACTTCTTCCTTTGGATTTGTATCCCCTTGATCTTCTTTAGTTGTCTTATTGCTCTAGCTAGGACTTCAAGTACTATGTTGAAGAGGTGTGGAGAGAGTGGGCAGCCTGGCCTTGTCCCTGATTTCAGTGGGATTGATTTAAGTTTCTCTCCATTGAGTTTGATGTTGGCTATAGGCTTGCTGTATATTGCCTTTACTATGTTTATATATGTGCCTTTTATCCCTGATCTCTCCAAGACTTTAAACATGAATGGATGTTGGACTTTGTCAAATGCTTTTTCAGCATCTAAGGAGATGATCATGTGGTTTTTCTCCTTCAGTTTGTTTATGTGGTGGATTACATTGATGGATTTCCGTATGTTGAATCACCCTTGCATGCCTGGCATGAAGCCTACTTGGTAATGGTGGGTGATATCTTTGATGTGTTCTTGGATTCGGTTTGGAAATATTTTATTGAGTATTTTTGCGTCAATGTTCATAAGAGAGATAGGTCTGAAGTTCTCTTCTTTTTGTTGGGTCTTTGTTTGGTTTAGGTATCAGGGTGACTGTCGCTTCATAGAATGAGTTTGGTAATGTACCTTCTGTTTCTATTTTGTGGAATAGTTTGAGGAGAATTGGTGTGAGCACTTCTTTGAAGGTCTGGTAGAATTCCACGCTGAAACCATCTGGCCCAGGGCTTTTTTTGGAGGGGAGACTGTTAATGACTTCTTCAATTTCCTTGGGGGATATAGGGCTATTCAGTCTTTCTACCTGATCTTGACTTAATGTTGGAAGATGGAATCTATCAAGAAAATTGTCCATTTCATTTGGATTTTCAAATTTTGTGGCATATAGGCTTTTGTAGTATGACCTAATGATTGTTTGAATTTCCTCAGTGTCTGTAGTTATGTCACCCTTTTCATTTCTGATTTTGCTGATTTGGATAGATTCTCTCAGCTTTTTAGTTAGTTTGGCTAAGCGTTTGTCTATCTTGTTGATTTTCTCAAAGAACCAGCTTTTTGTTTCATTGATTCTTTGAATAGTTTTATTTGCTTCTAATTGATTGATTTCAGCCCTGAGTTTGATTATTTCCACCTGTCTGCTCCTCTTGGGTGTATCTCCTTCTTAATTTTTTTTTTCTAGGTTTTTCAGTTGGGCCATTAAGGTGCTTGCATGTGATGTTACAAATTCCTTCTTTAAGGCACTTAGTGCTATAAATTTTCCTCTGAGCACTGCTTTTAATGTGTCCCATAAATTTTGGTATGTCGTGCCTTCATTTTCATTGAATTCTAGGAAGTCTTTAATTTCTTTCTTTATTTCTTCCTTAACCCAGCTGTCATTGAGTAACAAGTTGTTCAGTTTCCATATGCGTGTCGGCTTTTTCTTATTTCTGTTGTTGATGTCCAGCTTAAGTCCATGGTGGTCAGATAGAATACAAGGGATTATTTCAATCTTTTTGTATCTGTTGAGGCTTGCTTTATGACCAACTATGTGGTCTATTTTGAAGAAGGTTCCATGTTACTTGGTCTTCTTCCCTTGCTGCTTTTAGAATTTTTTCTTTGTTCTGTAGGTTCAGTGTTTTGACTATGATGTGACATGAAGAATTTCTTTTCTGGTCTAGTCTACTTGGTGTTCTGTAGGCCTCTTGTATGTTTATGGACATCTCCTTCCTTAACTTGGGAAAATTTTCTTCTATAATTTTCTTGAAAGTATTTTCCAGAACTTTGAGCCTGATGTCTTCTTTTTCTTCTATTCCTATTATTCTTAGATTTTGTCTTTTCATGGTGTCCTTGATTTCTTGGATGTTTTGTGTTTGGAACTTTTCTGATTTTATTTTTTCTTTGAGAGACGTGTCAATTTCCACAAGTGTATGTTTGGCTCCTGAGATTCTTTCTTCCATCTCTTGTATTTTGTTGGGGATGCTTACCTTCGTAGTTCCTGATTTTTTCTCTATGTTCTCCAGCTCCAGGTTTTTCTCTATTTGTGTTTTCTTCATTTATTCTAATTCTGTTTTTATGTCTTGCACCATTTCCTTGATCTGTTTGAATGTGGTGTCCTGCTTTTCAATGACAGCTTTTATTTCTTTGTCTGTTTCCTCTCTATATATCACTAATTGTGCCTCTACTTCTTTGGGTATAATTGCCTGCATTTCTATGAGAGCTTTGTTTATTTCTTCTTTATTTGCCTTCATATGTGTGGACATTTCTTTGAGAGCTTTGTGCATTTCTTCTCTGTTTGCCTCAATTTTCGTGGTCATTTCTCTGAAAGCACGATTTGTTTCCTATTGGAATCTCGATTTCTTTGGCTATTTCTCTGAGGGCTTTGTTCATTTCTTCTTTATGGGCCTCTAATAGCTGGAGAAACATAGTTTTGAGGTCGTTTTCTTGTATATCTAGTGAATTGAAGTGTCCATTGTTTTGTGGGGTTGCTGGTGAGGTCATTATGTCCTGATTTTTGTTGAGAGTGTTCTTACGTCTGCCTCTAGCCATCTGGTTATTTATAACCCTCACTGTTTTTTCCTCGAGTTTGTAGTTTGGGCTATGATCATCTCTTTCTGTTTTCTGGACTGCTTTTTCAGGAAGATGAGAGAGGTTCACTGGTTTGGGAATGTGCGTTGTGGTTTCAGTTTTGCCTAAGTAAGGAATGTGATGCTGGCACTATTAGCATGCACTTTTAGTGGGCACTGTGTGCATGCGTGGATTCTCTGACTATTGCAGTGGCCTGCAAGCCACTATTATGCAGTTCTGTCTGAGATCCAGGATATGTTCGCCTGGATTACACTGGTGGACCCACAAGGCAGAGGCTTCAATGTTGGGTTGCTATCCCAAGAATCCCTATGATGCCCACACTATGGGTGTGGGTGGCAGGGATCTTGTCTGGTTGCTTCTGTGCAGAGGCCCTGGGTCTGGGGCAAACTCTCCCTAGAAGGCTCACTCACTCTCTTGCAGGACCAGTTGGAATGCACAGGGGTTCCCCGTGCTCTCTACTCTCTGATTTGGTCCTGCTGCGGAGAATGCGCAGGTAGGCTAACAGTCAGCTCTGTGGCACTGTGGCTGTAGGACTCGGTGTCCCCCTTTCCTGTGTGCTCCCTCTCTGTTCTTTCCCTCTGCCAGGAGGGATTATGTTGACTGGTCCCGGGGTAGTGCTGGAAAGAGTTAGGTTGAGTATTCTCAATCCCAGATCCTGGGCCCAGATTTCTCTGCCAGAAACAGCCTGGC